AAGAATTGAAATGCCGATTCAGTCAGGTGAAGATTTGTACTCTAAACAGATTCAGCATGGCAACTTTTACTTACGCACACAGAAAGTTAACATTCTCACACCCGTCGAGGCTCCACACAAGACAAAAGTCTTGATCACTGCTTCTATGAAATTTTTTTTTTTCCTAAAGATGAATAGAGCTACAATTGTTGTCATGATAGCGGGGTGGATGACATAATTTGGTGCAGGGATCTTCTTGTCAATCTTTATTCAGGGATGCTGTTTTTTTTACTGTACTACACGTCAGCATCCTCCTATTCCCCTCATGCTTTGACACTTTGACTTCCTGTAAGTCTATCCAGATGTCAGGGTGCCCTCTGCTGGTTCAACCTTTAATTATTCAGCCAGAGCTACAAAACTCCAAACCTTGATCTCAAACGTGTTATCTAAGAAATTTGGATATTACATATAATATCGATCATCGTTTACCTGCTATTATATATAATAGCCTTTTGTACAACTTCGTGGTTACTCGAAGCTTAAGCTGTGTTTAAGCATTTTCAGAAATACAAGCCATTCTTAAGGCTTGACAAAAACCGAACCCTTGTAGCGAGGAAAAAAAATCATTTTAAAAACCTAAAAGAGAGAACCTCTGACAGTGTTATTTGAGGTGATCACGCCATTGTTTATTCTGCCAGATGTAGAGACAAAAACCAAACAAAACACAGGAAAGGGGGGGCAGGGAGTCGTGGAAGGCCACGCTGGGGGTCGTTCCTCCTCCGAAAAAAAAAAAAAAAAAAACGATATAGCAAAAATCAGTTTAACACTATGCAGGAAAATAGATATCCTATGCAAATAAAGCTGTTGGAGGACCTTGGCGTGAGGTTACCATACGGGTTGTACGTCAGAGCACTGGCTGAACATCCCAGTGTCCTTAAGTAGGCTCCCCAGGTAACTGGCCACAGGTGTGCTGAATTGATGAGTCATTAGCCGGACACACCTGTGACCGTATCCCTGATTGTAGGCCTTCAGGCTCCCCTCCCCACACCAGTTCTACAGCCTCGTCTCACCAAGTCCCGTGGAAATAACTGGCATTATCGGTTTATCCAGCAATTTAACGACGGGATGGATGCAAGAGTGCATATACACATACGTGAAAATGGTGTTTTGCTAATTTCGGATTTGTTACAACCAGCTCGTTGAAGGAAAAGGGATGTAACAAACACCAGGTTTTCTTGATGACAAAAACATATTCATTAGCTAAAGGAACAAGCAGCTATCAAATACTAAAAAGACAGAACACAAAACCAACTGCACTCAAACCAGAGGATCCAAGGCAGTATAAACAACCACACAAAACCAAACTAGAGTGATTTTAAAAAGACCTAATTAAATTTAAGCACCACAGCACATTTTCAAAACATTAGCCTCAAAAGTTACACACGGGCATGGAAGCTGGGGAGTAACAATATGCTCCCCGGGTTCTTGACTCCTGGCTGCTTAAATCCTGCGTGTGGCCCCTCCTGGTTGGTGTAATGGCCTCCTTGCAGGTGCATGGCATCAGTTCATTACTGCAGGAACCTTGGGAGCTGTAGTCAGGCCTCACGGAATAGAGAGGAAGCCAATCCCGACACAGAATACGACAGTGGCCGTAACAGACTTCCAACAGAGCACAGACATGCAGGGAAATCCCTCTGAAAAGATTTTTTAGACTTTTTTTTCGCCTCATTGGGCCTTCCAAAGATACTTTCCAAAGAAATCCATTTCTCACTCACTTATCTCATTTGTAGGTTCAATTTTAGACACAGATTATACACGAAACAGAAATGATTCCAAATGTATTTATTAGATCATCATTCTTGTGCGGCCCGGTACCAATTGATCCACCAACCAGTACCGGTCCACGGCCCAGATGTTAGGAACCAATTCAATTCAATTATATTTACATAGCGCCAAATCAGAACAACAGTTATCTCACAGCGCTTTCCAAACAGAGCAGGTCAGACCGTACTCTGAAGTTATTTACAGAAGCCCAACAATTCCCACCATGAGCAAGCACTAGGCGACACAGGCGAGGAAAAACTTCCTTTTAAGAGGAAGAAACCTCGAGCAGAACCATGGCTCAGGGTGGGCGGCCATCTGCCTCGGCCGGTTGGGGATGAGAGAAAGAGAGGGCAAGAGAGAGAGGGCGAGAGAAGGAAAGAGGGAGCAGAGAGAGGCAGCCTACACCGTATCACATAGAAGTACAGCTGTTTAGCCTGACTTTAACTTGGAAACAGTTTTCAGTATCTATAGTACAAAACATAATTCTTGTGCATGTTGATATCTTATTTGTAGCTCCTGAAGTCTTTCTTTCAGGGACAGGTTCTGCTTCTATAGAGCAACTGTGTCCCGGTCCTCTTTCTCACATTTCTGCTCAGCTCCTTTAAGTTCCTCTAATACTGTTTTGGTCTTTTCCAGTTATGTTTTCAGTTCTTGGATTTTTCTTTATGGGTTTTGACTACATCCAGCTTCTCTCTCAGTTGATCCTTTTCCTTTGTGAGATCCATATTATTTTGTTGCAGCACCGTCTTCTCCTTTTTCAATTCATTAGCCTCCCGCTTGAGGCGTAATTCTGATTTTTTAAGGTCTAATAAAGCCTTATTCTTTTGTCTTAATAATTCTGTTATCTCAGAGCGAACCTTTCCGTTCATTTCGCTGATTTCATTAGATGCCTCGAGACTTTCCTGGTGCAAGCACTCCTGTTGTTGATCAAATCTTGTTATGAGATCGTCAATATAGCGCCCCTCTTTTTCCCTTCTTTTCAAAAGCTTCTTATTACTCCTAGTTTTTTCTTCCAGTGCAAGCCCCTGTTCATGCATTTTTTCTTGTACATGTTGATAGCTAATTTTTAGCTCCTGAACTCTTTCTTTCAGGGCCTGATTCTGCTGGTATAGAGCACCTGTGTCCTGGTCCTCCTTCTCATGTTTCTGCTCCGCTCCTTTGAGCTCTACCAGCATTTTTTTGGTCTTGGCCAGTTCTGTTTTTAGTTCTTGGATTTTTCCTTTGTCGGCTTCCTGTTCTCTGAATTCATCCAGCTTCTCTCTCAGTTTGCCATTTTCTTTTGTGAGATCCAGATTTTTTTGTTGCAGCAGCCTCTTCTCCTTTTTTAAGTCCTTAGCTTCCTGCTTGAAGCGTAATGCAGATTTTTTAAGCTCTGCTGAAGTCTTATCGCTCTCTCTTTTCAATTCTGAGATGTCAGAGTGCATCTTTTTGTACATTTCACAGATAGTATCAGATGTCTTGATACTTTCCAGGTGAAAGTCCTCCTGTTGTTGGTCCCTCTTACATTTCAGCTCTGTTTCTTTCATTTCTGTCAGAGTTTTTATGTTTTTTTCCAGTTCTTTTTTCAGGACTTCATTTTCCACCATTAGGCTTTCTTTCTCTCTTTTGAATGTTTGTTTTAGGTGTTCAATACTCATAAGAGCGCTATTCAGTTTTTGGGTAAGGGCTTTGTTCTCATCTTGCACCTGGTAATTGATCTGGCCAGCTTTCATATCGCTGAGCTTGGCCTCCAGCAGCTCTACTTTCTTTTGGAGAGATTCATTTTTCTTCTGCATCCCTTCCTTTTCTGAGCTTTTTTTCTGCTCTTTCTCTGTTAAAGTCTCCTTGACGTTTTTTTTCTTTGCTGTCAGGTCAAATGATTGCTGCTGCAGATTCTGGCTCCATGTTGTCAGCCTTTCTAGCTTCCCCTCTGAAGTTTTCTTCTCACTTCCAAAATTGTGGATGCCATTTGTACCCTGAAGAAAAGTGGTCTGCTTGCGAGTGTACATTTTTGTAGAACAAATAAAAAATATCCACTGTTTCTCCTTGCTAATCTCTCCAGGTATGTCTTGCGATCTGTCCTGTTCACCTGCTATCTCACAAGTGTACAGCCTTACTCCTGACAGTTGACGTCATGCCACTGGAATGTCACAGCATGATGTCACAAAGGCATTCGCATTGTCCCAGACAAGCACGTTCCGCCCATTTTATGGAAGAAGTTCTGAAATGACGTATGGCCCTGAGTCAGCGCGCTATCCCAGAAAGCACCGCGGCCCAAACAAAGATGGCGGCGGAGTATGCACATTATTGTCAGTATGTTTTGAAACGCAATTTTCAGTTCACTTGGGCTTTAATAACTGGAGGCAACAGTGTTGTTTGCGTTCCATCAACTTTGGTCACTCGATAAAGATTAAACCGTTTTTTATATTCAGCGTTTTCAGAAATACGAGCTAACAGACAAACTACCGCTCTACAGCGTCGGCTCAGCAAGTCCCGTTGTACTGTAACCATGGCAATAACTGTCAACAGTTTTATCCACCAATTTTACGACTGCCCTTTTTTCGGGAAGGATGCATGAGTGCATAAATTACATACGTGAGAATGGTGTTTTGCTCATTTCTGACTTAAGAATAGATTCAAACGGGACGCAATGTTTTAAAACTGTGTCCACAATATTTAACCCACATAAATCATTTGAACGGGAAAACGTTTGAAATTGTGTCCTAATCTTCACTCGCGACTTTCATAGTATTCAGAGTATTGCTTTTTAAACTAGAACCTTCAAAGGCAGAGAGATGCCCTCCAACTGCCCAGTAGAGAGCAGTTCAACTCAGGAGAAGACTGGAGCAGCAAAACGTTAAAAGTTAGCTCTGTTAAACGGACTCACCCTGTAGGTGTGTAGTTTGAGGATGTATATGCAGACCAATTGCTGCACCTGTGCCCTCTTGTCGACAATGAATTGAATTAATTAAATAAATAAATCATGGAAATACATGGAGAGTTGTGGTTATTTGACTGGAAGCCAGTATGATACAAACATTAAAAAAAGACACCTCTTCATCCCTGTTGGAAGTATCGCTCACTAAATTCCCACATCAGAATTCATAAGGCCACCACAGTCCACCACTGGATCCAATGCTGGAGGGTGTTGGCGGGCAGCAGATTCCCTGTGCCTGACATTAGAGGGCAGCAGATTGTTACACACAAAAGGGAACCCAGGGGCAGCCGAATGGCTCAGTAATTTTTCAAGAAGAGGAAGAACGAAGTCACAGAAGTTGCATTACTATCCAAACACAAAAAGGCAAAAGTACATGCATAATATCAGCATGTACTGTGGCATTATTCATCCAAAAGATAAAAGCTTTTTCTGATGCTAATGATTGGGGGAACTCTGAGCATTAGGGCGGTTTCATTTGGTGTTTGAACTGTAGTAGCACCTCATTTTGATCATGAGCTACACACTCAATATCATTACTGATTACCTTTTTTTGTTACTATAAGAAAACTTCCCTCACTATGTATGAACTTTTACTTTAACTGCTTTAATTGTATTTTTTGTTCTTTTTGTGTATACAAGGACTTTAAAAATGCTAAATTGGTCTCCTTTTATACTTTTGTCTATCAAAAGCTATGGCTAGAATCTGAAAAGAAAACTCAACATCACCATCAAATAAATTATGTCAATCATTGCACAATCTCATTAGAAGATTAGACTTTTTTCTTGTCCCTTTCATTATATGTCTTTACATTGTTACACAGTCAGTAGTGTGTGGTGGCAGCTGATTGGCTATAATGTTTCCAAGATGAAGGAAATCAAAGTCACAGCCCACCTAGAAGGGTTGTGCTTCCTCAGACTGAGAGGCAGCACTATGCAGCATACCAGGATGGAACTTCAGACGTTAATATCAGTCAGAAAACGCATCATGGTGGTCATCTTCTTCTACATGACATTAGATATAGAGATGATCTTAGGTAACAATGGGTTTAAAAAAAAAAAATTGTCTATCTGCCTTCATGCAGCTGCGTGTTGTTTCATATTCTGGGTCGTGGACTTTTCAACAGGCTCTTCTCCCAGCGAGCAGGTCCACCAGACTCCAGCTGATGCACTCTACAAACCCGGAGACACAGCCGTCATCCACTGCTCCCACACCGTCGACAACTTTGAAAGAATCTGTTGGTACAAGCAATCAAACAACCAGTTGCAGCTCCTTGGATACATGGATATGATATTTGGAAGACCTGAGGAAAGTGTGAATGTAAAAATAAATGGGAGTGCAGAAAAAGGCCAGATCTGCACGTTAATAGTGGAGGAACTCAATGTGAACGGCAATGCGGTTTACTTCTGTGCTGCTGGTTACCACAGTGCCGTATGTCTCTGCACCCCACCACAAAAACGTTCTTTTTATGAATCATTTCATCTGTATCTCAGCCGACATCCTCCTCCAGCTGCATTATCCCCTCTCAACCAACAGTTCATGCAATTGGGATATTCTAGCACTTCATATATAAAAAAAAACTTTCGTGGTCTGTTTTTTTCTGTCTTGCCTTCCTTTTAATGGAACACAGGCTTTCAGTTTGAAGAATCACAGAATTTCTGACTGGAGAATAATTTAATAGCTACACAGGAAAGGGATCAATTTTCTTACCAGCCAACTTAAATTTTAACCAGAAAAGAAAAAACTCAATGGTGTTTCGAGGAAACTGACATCTTTTTGCATGTTATTATACACCAAATAAGCATTTTCCTGGTCATTATATCCTTTCCAAAAAAAAATGCAGCAGCTCAAAGTCCCACTTTAAAAAATAACTGATATTGTCCAAAAAATGCTGACCCGTTTGGCAGCCATACTTGTAACAAAGCAGCACACACATTCTTTCACAGAGATGCTAACTATCTATCAGAAAAATGTTGGAAATTCACCATAGGCAGATTTGATTGAAATGGAATC